TTGCTTGCCCCGCCCAGGTGGGAGGGGCCATGGGCAAAACGATTGTTCCCGGTCTCCGTGGGTTTGGCCCGGCCAGGGGGAGTACAGGAAGCCGAGAGGGGATACTGGGTGGACAGCAACCAAAAGAGCTGCATCATCACCACCATCCCCCCTTTTCTCAAGTGAGGTCAGTAAATGACAACAGGACACCTGACACACGGTCCAGAGCCTGCAGAGTGAAGGTGCAGAGTGATCACACCAGGTACCTGCTGCAGGAAGTGCATGGGGTGGTGGCACCCTGCTGCTCTTAGGTGCCGGTATCTAGACAGCACCAGGGTAAGAGTCCCTGGCTTAAGAAAGCCCGAGCGCAGGCCCAGGCCGAATATTCGGAGCAGGGGCAGGGTTTGGTTTCGGGTCACGGTGGAACTCGCAGGACCTGGAAAGCCTGGAAAGCCAGCCTCGACCTCTTCAGCCACATTCACCACATAGTCCTCTCCTATGTACCTGGAAGCAGAAAATATCAGTTTCAGGCTCGCTTGCTGAGCGAGCCAGTCCACAGGTCGTGGCAGCCTTTTGGAACTGCAGCCCGTCCACCAGCCCCACCCACCTGCTCTTGGGGCTCCCGGGGCCATCTAGTGGACTCTGGAGCTTGGCGGCCGAGGGGACTGGAGCTGGGAAGGCCAGGTCCGCTCTCGCCTGCCACTCTTGCGGGCGGGGCTCAATCCATCCATGTCGCTGAATGCAGACTTGAAAAAATTCTATGCAGGGGCCTCCGACGACAGGGCCTCACAAGAGACCGTGGAAGGTCGATGGCTTGGTCTGGCCTCCACCTCTACAGCGGGCTTGAGTTAGGATGCGGCCCATCCTCTCCCGTTCTCTGCGGAATCCCGTTTGGCTCCTGCGGGCGGAAGGGCATCACTGCTGGTCGACGTGCCCGGGAAGCCCTAACACTCGGACTGAGTTGCAGCTATGGTCACACCACTTTCTTCTGGAACTGTGGTCCGCCCAAACCTCTGCAGATACAATCTCCAGTGAACGGTTGCAGCGCCGACCCCCATGCATGACCATGATGACTCTACTAGTGCCGCCAGTGTCCTGGAACTTTGCCTCAGGCACCTGGGCCAAATCCCATCCCTTACGGATGGATGTTCCCGGAGCCCCAAAGAGAGGAAACCACGTATATAGAAGTGGCCGCCAGAGGGCGCCCGAGAACCTGCGCGATTGTCAGTTGGATGGATCTGGATCACCGCGCGGCGAGGGCGTGTCGGCGGTACGCCCACATCTAGTCCCGGCGTGCCTTGGAGCGCGTCTCTCGCCCAGCCGGGCGTGGAGGAGAGGTGAAGGTTTGCAGGCAGGCCGCCCTTCATATTACTTCCGTCCATCCCCTGGCGCAGCTTAAGCCCAGCCTGGGAGAGCGCGGGCGCCACATCAACCGGTGAACAGGAAGCCCCTGGTAGACACAGCGGGAGTGGTTGCATTGGTCGAACGCGGCCTACAGCCCTGCCACATGCTTCGGAGCCCGTGGGCTGGAGGCGCCGAGAACTCACAGCGTGAGGACTCAGCCACCCTTGGGCCCTTGAACCCACTGGTGGCACCTTGGTCAAGGCCCTGGAGGCACTAGAGCAGGCGGGCGGCACCAGCAGAAGGGCAGGGCCGGGTGTCTGATCGAGGTCAAGCCCGGAGCGCAGACTGGTTCAACTTTCTTGACTACAACCACCAGAGGGCACGCCAAACTATCCGGCTGCAAAATATTTCAATTTCGTGCAGAAATATTACCACGCCTATTACGGAGCTGATCAAAAGGTCACAGCGACCTTCTGGAATTGTGGTCCGCCCACAAGCTCCCCACACCACCCCATCGTCCTTGAGTTCCCAGAACCATCTGGTCGACCCCGGAGCTTCGTGGCAGAGGCCAGGAGTGTGAGCCGGCGGACTGAGCGCAGCTTCCCTGGTTCTGCTGTGTGGGTAGCGGCTGGGTGGTTGTCTCTGGACGCGAACTTGGGAAGATTCCGCGGAGGCACCTCCGACGACCATGCCTTATGAAGGCTACAAGCTGGCCTGTGTTCCCTACCCGCGTCTCTATGTATGGCTCGGCCCGTCCCCACCTCAGAAGCGGAACCTGGAAAATTTGGTAAGTCGAGCCTGATGACAATGACCTCCGTGGGTACACCTTCAGGAGAGGCGCGCCCTCCCCGTCCTCCTCCGAGAGCAGGGGCCGCCCATCCACGTCTTTGGTCCAGGACTTGGAAAAATTTTTAGTACCGCTGACGCCCGGATCCCACGCGTTCCCCCGGTCGAGCCCGTTGTGCCCTCCACGGCCGCCCTGCACAGCCTGGCCTCCACCTTTAGAGCGGGCCGGCCTTCCTGCGCTAGACACCGTCTCCCTTCCCCGTCAGATCCCCAGTCGGTCACCACAGTGGAGGAGCACAGGCCAGTGCTGGTGGACCCATCTGGATGGGGCATTGAAGCGACATTCACACCCATAACCCTGCAGGTACAATCTCCAGCAAATAGATGAAGCGCCAATGCCCGTGCATGACCAGGACGATCATGAAAGTACCGCTGGCCTCCTGGAACTCCACCCCAGGATTCCCGGCCAAATCCTATCCCTTACCGATATCCCCGGAGCTCCGGACAGAGGAGAAACTACCTGTCTAAAAGTGGCCGTCAGATAACGCCTCGTGGTGCATCTCTCACCTGTCCTGGGGCGGAGAGGCGAGATGATCAGAGAGCCACGTATGCCATGAATGTCTGTCCCTCAACCTGGCGTGCCTTAAACACGGCAGAGCAGGAGCACAACATTTATCATTAATACAAAACCCTAATGAGAGCCCGGTGAGGACACCAACACCCGGAGATGCTGCGTCAGCATCGCCACCCCTTTCTCATGCATGGCTCAGAGTCTGTATGGTGAGAGCCCACATAGGCATCGGACACTATAGCCTGGAGACTGCACCACGGTGGTGTCCCCGGATGCACAGATCTGGCAGTGGGGGCAGAGACGGGTGTCAGGTTGTGGTCAAGCCCAGGGCCTTGCGTCCCCAAACTTCCAACTTCTTTGACCACAGACAACGTAGAGCGTGTCGGCATCCATATAGCAAAAAATACCAATTTCTGGCGAAAAAAAAAATTACCGCTCTTGCTGACGGGGATGATCCACAGATTACATACATAGCTTCCTGGCACCGCGGCTGGGCACCAGCCCCATCGCAACACCCCATGACTCCTTCCCCCGGAGCTCTTGGGGCCATCTGGTGGCCCGAGATGGAACCGCAGAGCGAGTGGAAGCGAGCGGGCCGTGCGTGCCCTCCTTGGTTAGCCCGCACGGGCTCTGTAGGGAGGAAACTATATAAAAGCGGCTGCCAGAGGGCGCCCGACAACCGGCGCAAACGGCAGTGGGACGGATCCTGATCACCGGTTGGCGAGGGCGCACCGCAGGCCCGCCAGATGCTCGACCTGCGCCTGGTCTACCGGGAAGTCCTATTACCAACCTTCCAACCACGAACTATGGACTGTGTATTTTTACTTTCTGCCCAATAAGGGAGTGTCCTTACCTAGTTCCTTCCTGCCACTGTGGTCATAAAGGCACGGTCCCAGTTCCTCTCTTTCTGCTTTCTGACACCCTTGCCTGTGGCAGGCCTCACGTGGCCCTATATGGCAGGCTATGCTTCTCTTTTCCAAGAAAACTATGAGTAATAAAAGGTCTTTCGATGGTATTAGCCTCTCCTGTCATCACTCAGTCACCTCCATTAATTAAAATCCCAAGGGTGCGGCTTTTACACAGTTGTAAAACTGGCAAGAGGCTATACTTGCATCTCAAAGAGAAGAGAAAGAACTTAAAATTAGAAGTTGCTAAGAGAAATGCGCTACGGAAAGAGATTGGAGGAAAGTTTCTGTCCCCTTTTTGCACCAGGGAGATTATGTTTTTATTTTTAATTTGTTTTTTACTCTTATACCCTTTCCCCATATTTCCTGTACACTAGAGATGGGTGGTTCAGGTGTTGTCCAGGTGGACAGTTGTGCAACGATGACACTCCTGGAGATACATGGGGTGAGACGGGTCTGTGATAATGACATGAAGGCCTCTGCACATACATCCCAAGGACACTGTGACAAGTGTGACACACTGACAGCCCTCAACACAGCCTACATATATATATATTAAACCACGTCTATGATAGAAGAGATGTGTGATACACATGAGACACACAACAGGCATAAGCAACTCCCACCAAGGGCATGTGGGAAGTGGGGGAGGCGCTGACCCACCCCAGCAGCTATGAGGACACAAATGCACAAATACTTTAGAGAGACTTGTGAGACAAGCATGAGATATGGATGCCCAAAAGCCTGGGGTGTGGATAACACACACAATCACGCAATCCCCATGAACTGAGTGTGACTAGATGGTCTTAACCTGGCTTGGAGAGAACAACCATCCCTACACCCTATCCTTGGCCCCACTCATGCAAGTTTGATGATGCCCTGGTGGTGGTCAGACAGTGAGCCAGTGCACACCTTGGCACAACCTGGAGACACACTTTTGAAGACTGAATGTCAACACAGTGACACATAATGGGAGGAAATCAGCCCAAGCTTGAGTAGCAGGAAAACTTGACTCAGAAATGGCAGCTAAGAAGGTTCAGGAGTCAGAGTCTGGGGGGGCAGGGCTGTAGTCAGGGGAGGTTTTGGGCTCTACTGGAGGGATCAGCATGCATGAGTCGGTTTCAGGAATAGTGGACCAAGGCTGTTCTGAGAGGGGAGGAACCATTTTGGTGGGTTATTAGTTATTGTTTGGGTGGAGATGATCATATAGCAGTGTGGCCATCTCAGGCAAGACCAAATTCTTTCCTCTTTCTGGTATTTAATGGGTTGTTTAATCCTGAATAGACAAGTATTCCCACAATGCTCTTATTAGTCAGGGTGTTTTGAAATGCCTCCTCTGGGGTTGCCTTCGGGGCTAATTTCAAAGCTGCATGAAATAATTAATGTGAACATTGCTTTTAAAAATTATTGTCTAGATTCTTTTGTAGTTCTAAGCGTGATGATTGGGTGTTCATGCTGTTGCGTGAGATGTTCCTCCCTCAAACCTTGTTACGACATCAGCACATTACCTGTCTGACGTGAAAAAAAAATTATGTCTAGAAATATATAAAAATAATTATGTCCTCACTTTGAGCCCTCCTTAGAGCCTTTAATATAATCACATACATACTTTATGTTGCTAAAGTTGGCATGAACCCTCTTTCGTGGTGTTTTATCATTATTGAACACACCCCTGTCAGTGAACAAAATTCAATTTTTACATAATTTATAGTGTTTTCAGGATAGCGTGTACAGTTTCTATATTGTTGGAGGAAGGAAGTTGTCTTCTGATGCCCCTTCTCTCTCTGTCTCCTCTCAGAAGGACTGTCTGGGCTATAGCTGTATCCACACACGTAGCTGAGCCCTAAGATCTGTGGGAGTCGGAGATGTTACTTTCAGGAAACACTTCTTGATTCAAAGCAGAGGGCTAGCCTTTCCATACTTTGGAGCTCTTTGGCACGAGGTGGCCCATGAAGACTGCCTGAAGCAGGAGTAAGATACGCTCCATGGGTGAAGGACCCATGGAGGTTTATTCTTTCATCTTCTAGTTTCCTCTGTCTAGTGTTCATATACGTGGGCACTCATGGGGGCCAGCCGTGGCCTTGCCTCTAGGAACCAAAGTGTCAGGAGACCCCTGTCCTTTTCCCACACACCAAGCACTGCGTTCTCTGTAGTGCAATGATACGCATGACAGAGATATGGGCCCCTGCCCTCGGGCAGGGAAGGAGCTCATCATTAAGTATGGTAAACACGTGTGGAAACAGATGAGTGCAATGACATTACTGCTGCTGTGACAGAAATGTATCCAGAGTTGATGAGACAGAGGAGAGTCGAACCTTGAAGTCATGGCATGGTGAGCAGGGGTAACGTTCCCTGGAGTCTGAGAGCTTTGATTCTTGGCATGGAGAGGAATTAAAACCCTTCTAAACTCTGCCAATAACCAGGGGGATGCCATTAACTGTTATTCTTCAAATGGAAACATCACTTGGTTGTGTCCTCCCCAGGGCTTCGTGTCATTCTCAGCAAACGTGAGAATGTGTAAGGCACAGGGAAATAGCAGACATAAATGAAAGATAGTATAGAGGTGGAGCCCCTGAGCTGGTGTGTCTGGTAGATTATGACCTGCTACGTGAGGAGGCACAAACCATCCACACGGGGGCAGCATCACACTCTCACTTTGGGGCCCTTTTCAAAGAAGCAGCAATTTCAATACACTTACACAGTTTTTTACTTACAGATCCCAGAAATGCAGGGGCAGGAGGCTGCAGGAGACAGATAGCTGGGTAGCAAGCACCTATTACTCATAAGGTGGTTGCGGCGGTGGTCACTAATTTTTCATGGGCTCAACTCTGAGTGGTTATTTTAAAGGCTCTAGGAAAATCAAGGGGGGTATCTTGTGGTGGGAATCCTAAACTCTGCTCCTCATCTAATGTCGGGACTCTGGTGTCAGTCGGGTCGTCACACAGTGAAATGCGCAGGGGGTAACTCAGAATGGCTGTTTCCTCATCACAGGGCTGAGTTGTGTGCCCCAAATTCATGTGTGGAAGCCCACATGGGTATCTTAGAATGTGAGTGTATTGGGAGACAGGGCTATTAAAGAGGTGATTCAGTTCAAATGAGGCTAATTAGCACGGGCATTAATCCAATCTAACTGGTGCCTTACAAGAAGAAATGAGGACACACACAGACACTAAGGGTGCCTGTGCACTAAGAGGCAACAAGGTGGCAGCCAACTGCCAACCAAGGAGAGAGGCCTCTGGGGAAACCAACCCCTCTGGCACCTTGTTCTTGGACATCCAGCCTCCAGAATGATGAAGAAGTAAATTTCTGTTGTTTCGGCCACTCAGTCTGTGGTATTTTGTCATGACTATCTTAGAGAACTATTACAATTACCCATTCACTTATGGATGAGCATTTGCAGAATTTTAAAATTTTGTTACCAGCTGTTAGTTTTTATCAGGAAAGATGCTGTTGATGTGAAAATTCAAGTGCAAGTATTTCTGTGGACACAGTTTTATTCTTCTTAGGGATATATCTATAAATGACTGTTGCATGATAAGTGAATATTTAGCGGGTGTCACATGCGGCATTCCCAGCGATGTATGGGGATTCTTTTATACAACTTCACAGACTTAGTATTGGCAGTCTTTGAATGTGACCATTCAAATGAATGTGTGCCTGTGTTTTTTGTGGTTTTATTTTGTATTTCCTTATGATTAATGATGTTGAGCATATTTTCACATACTTAATCATTCACGTATCTTTGGTGAAACATGTAATCAAAATTTTTGTTGTTAAATTGGGTTTTCTTGTTATACAGTTTATTTTAAAATTCTGGATACTAGTTATTTATCAGATATATTTTGCAAATATTTTTCCCTGGGTATGGCTTGCATTTTTAACTTTATTAAATGTGTCTTTTTAATGGCAAATTCTTAATTTTGGTAAAGTCCCAATTTATTACTTTATTTTCTCTAGATTTTGATTTTTATGTCCTTTGTAAAAACATTTTTTTTGGTCTAACTCATGTTCAAAGAGTGTTCCAAAACATTATCTCCTATCATTTTATATATATCCATTTCAAGTTAATTACTAAGTTGAGTAATTCAAGTAATCAGTAAGTTAATTGGTAAATAACTTGAGGTGTTTTGAAGTTTTTTTGTTATTTGTCTTATGGATGTCATAATTTTAGAGCAATCTGTTGAAAACATTACTCTTTTAGTCTTGAAATACTTCTGTAATTTTATTGAAAATAAATTGACAATATATATGTAGTTCTATTTCTGGACTCTATTTTCTTTCTGTGTTTAGCCTTTCAGCAATATTATACTTTTCATTAGTATAGCTCTACAGTGATTCTTAAATAAGATGCAATCTTTCAAATTTGTTGTTCATTCCAAAATTTGTTTGGGGTATTTTAGGTCCTTTGAATTTCCATATGAATTTTACTATGTTTTTCAATATTTATCCGCCCCCCCCCAAAAAAAAAGCACTGGTAATTTGAGAGTCGTGTGAACCTATAAGAAAATTAAGAGAAAAAAATTAAAATGTTAAGTCTTTAAATTCAGAAACGTGGTATGTCTCAGTAATGTTTTATAAATTTCAGAGTTCTTGAACATATTTCTAAATATTTCACATCTCAATACTGTTGTGAGGAGTATAGTTTTCAATTTCCAAACATTCATTGTATATTGACCTTCTATCCGGGGACCTTGATTAATTTAACTTATTAGATCTATTAAGCTTTTTGAATAGATAACGAAAGATTTTCTGAAGATAAGCATGTCATCTGTGAATGATGACAATTTTGGTTCTTCCTTTACAATTTGTACAACAATTTGTTTCCTTTCATTTATGTCACTAGCACAGAACTTCAGTACAATATTACACAGAAATTTTGAGTGGACATCCCTGTTTATTCCTAATGTTAGGGGGAAAACATTCAGACTTTCACCATTAACTATAACCTTAGTTTTAGGTTTTTAACAGCTTCTCTATACCCGGTTAAGGACATCACTTCTCTGATACCAACTACCGAGAGTTGGCATCCGTCTCCACAGGTTTAAGGGCTCAGTCCTCCAGAAGAAAGCCTTCACTTCAGATGTCAGCTGGTAGTCACTTGCACTTTTGACCAACTGGCTATCATTTCAGGGGTTCTCATTAGCCCCTCGGGATAAATAATTTGTTAGACTAACTCATAGAACTTACTAAATGTGCTATACTTATGATTCCGCATTTGTCATAAAGAATACAACTCAGGAACAGCCATGTGGAAAGGATGCACAGGACGAGGTCGGGGGTTTGGGGCTGGATGTACAGGTCTCATGAACTCTCCCTACTTGGTTTTGCTATCAGGGTAATATTGATTTCACAAAATTAGTTGGGAAGTGTTCTATGTTATTACTTTTTTTTTAAAAAAAAAGGGTTTGATTGAATAGTAATTATTTCTTCATTAAAGACTTGGTAGAATTCATTAGTGAAGCCATCTTGGCCTGAAGTTTTTAGTGAGAGGGCTTCTTACGTTTACACTACTAGTAATCTGGAAATACTAATAGTCTTTAATGAACAAAGGATTTTTCAGATCTACTTCTTGAATGAGCCTGGCTAGTTAGTATCTTTCAATCAATTTTTGTCCTCCAATCTCTCATTTACTGGAAAAGAGTTGTTTGAAATAATCACACACCATCCATTACGTTTTAAAGATATCTAGTGCTATACCTTCTTTTCTCATATTTGTCATATGTGATTTCTGTCTTTTTTTCTGATGTGGCTGGAAGTTATCATCAATTTTACTAATTTTTTCAAGGTACCTGTTTTTGAGGAAGGTGTAGTTCATAGATTTTCTTGAAAAAAAAAAAAGGTACATAAGACTGATTCTCAATACACTGGACATGAGGCAAACAACAATGACCTACTACCTCAGGTTACTGTGAAAATAAATTCTCAGGCTGTATGCAAGGATGAGGAATTGAGGCAGCCTCCAAATGTCACCTTGAGTTAAACAGACAAAACTTGAAGTCTGGAGTCCACAAAACACAGTACAGGAGAGAGAAAACTTCAGAGAAATATGGAGAGTTGCCTCAAGTACTGAGCTGAGTACTAATCTGTACATGCGTGTAGGAAACCACCAGAGGATGGGTACAGAAACACCTGAAAGGTGTTTCCAAGGCTCATTCGGAGAATGAAATAGTCCTTGTTCCAACTAGCTTGAGTGGGAAACCTCATAATTAATTCTTTAAAAAAGCATCAAGTAGAGAATGTAGAATGGTTGTGTCTCAGCAGTGGGAGGGAAAAATTAGCCTTAAGATGAATACTGCATAGTTCCATCTAAAAGTGTTTTGAATCAAGACTCTAAAAGGTCATATTGTTTCCAAGAAACTTAACCATGTAACAACAACAACAACAAAATCAAGAATATCTATAGAAATACAAAAGAGTTCAGTATCCCCAAAAGGCAAAATTCAGTGCCCAATCAAAATTATATCACATTAACAATACTGGACAAGGTAGATTTTGGAGCAAAAGATATTAAAATAAAGAGATCTTATTCATTAAGTGGAAATATAGTAAAAAAAAATGGTTGTACACACAATAAAAAGGCTCAAAATATACAGAGCAAAACCTGATAGAACTAAACACGGAAACAGACAAATCTACTTTTATATTCAAAGTTGTCAACAATGCTCTTCGAATAACTGATCGACACCAACCTCTACATCTATAAGGATAGAGGAAACATAGCATTATCAACCATCTTGATGTAGTCAACATCTGCAGAACCTGCCACCAAACAAGAATACAATCATGAAAACTGATCAAGGACAAGTGAGAAATATAGACATTACCTTATCAGAAATAAGAGAGGTGGCACCACTACAAATTCTGTATTAAATAACAGAATAGTTAGAAAAATTAAGACTACTTAAATAAAATAAACAAACTCCTTGAAAGACAATAACCACATAAGCTCACTCTAGGAAAAAAAAAACTTTTATAGTTCTATATCCACTATGGAAATTACATTTGTAGTTACAAACCTTCCCATGAAATAAACTTTAGGCCTAGATACTTCACTGGTAAATTCTAGCAAACAAGACAGAAATGATACCAGTTCTTCACAAACTCTTCCAGAAAATTGAAGAGTAGGGACTACTTAACCAATTTATTCTGTAAAGCCAGCATTATACCAACCAAATCCAGGCATTAAATTAATGTCCCTCATTAGCATAGATGCAAAAATCTTTTTAAAACTATAGTGAATAGTCATGTGCCATTAAACAACATTTCAGTCAACAGACTGTGTATATAATGGTGGTTCAATATTATAAGAGCTAAAAAATTCCTATTGCTTAGTGATATTGTAGTCATAAATGTCAAAGCAGCACACATTACTTGTGTGTTTGTGGTGATGCTGGAGTAAACAAACCAACTGCCCTGCTAGTTGTATGTAACACATACAATTATACACACTGTATAATACTTGATAATGACTGACTACCTGATGAGGACCTTTGTCCAGGCTATTGCTGCAATTCAGGAAAGCACTGAGAAGATGCTGATGCAGATCACAACACCTACAACTACATCAAGAATCTTGCTTGGGTTTTGGGTGACGTTACCACAGAGTGTGTGACTAGCATCTCAAAGACACTCAAGAGGTTCGTCTGTGACTTCAAAGGATTTGCCAAGGATGAAGTTGCAAAAATCAACAAGGCTGTAGTTGAGATGGCAAACAACCATACCCTGGGTGTGGATGAAGATGACATTGAAGAGCTCCTGGAGGTGGTTCCTGAGGAACTGACCAATAAGTTGTTGTTGGAACTGGAGCAGGAGCACAAAGCTGAAGAGGCAAGTGCAAAGGACCCTGCAGAAGAATCTTCCCTTTCCCCCCACCCCCAAAAAATCAGTGAAGGGTTTAGCAGAACCTTTTGGAAGACCTCAAGAAGCTCCTTAAAAAGTTTGAAAGCATGGACCCCCAACACCAAAAGGTTTTAATAGAACATACATGGTGCGTTACCTGCTTACAAGCTAACCTATGACAAAAAAAAAAAAGCAAACCATCATGGGCATATTTCTGAGAAGAGGGACACCTCAAGAGCCTCAGGCAGGTCCTTTAGGTTGTATTCCAGAAGGCAGTCATCACAGATGACAGCTCGTATAGTACTGGCCCTGAAGACCTTCCAGTGGGACAAGACGTAGAGGTAGGAGACAGCGATATGGATGATCTTGACCCTGTGTAGCCCGAGGCCAATATGTCTTAGTTTTTAACAAAAAAGTTTAAAAAGTGAAAAAAATTTTTTTCAATAAAAGCCTATAGGACAAAGACATAAAGAAATATATAAAGAAAATGTTTTTTGTACAGCAGTACAATGTTTGCCTTTTTGTCTTAAGATGTGTTGTTATATTTGAAGTTTTTTAAAAATTAAGTTTAAAAAGTACAAGTTACAGTAAGATTAACTTATTCAGGAAATTACGAGTATTTAAAAATAAATTTAGTGTAGTCTAAGCGTAGTGTTTATAAAGCTTACAGTAATGTACTAGGCTGTCACACTCACCACTCATTCAGAACAACTTCCTGTCCTGCAAGCTAAGTGCCCTACACAGGTGTGCCAATTAAAAAAATCTCATACTAAGGAATGAACTACTGATGTACAGAACATTGATGAATCACAAATAATTATGTAGAGTCAAAGAAGCCAGATACATAAAGTGTTAAATTATTCTCTCTGTATATCCATGTATAATTCTAGGAAATACAAACAAATCTAGTAACAGAAAGCAAGATGAGTGGGTACATAGGTATGGGTGAAGGAGATGGTTATAAAGGGAATAAAAAAATTTGGTTTACAAGTGCAAACATGTATTGAAATTTACCAAATTGTACACTATAAATATACGCAGTTTACTGCAGAAAATCTTTGGACCGATTGCTTTGACAGTGACCATAGCCATGAGACACAAATATGGGAGCCTGGAGAATTTCTGTAAGCTCTCGTACCAAAGCTACAGTGACGGAAACATTTGTGGCTACACCTTTACAAGAGTTACATTCCCTACAGTTTGCTGCAGTCTCCAAACTCCCTATTAATCAGTGTCTCTGTGCTAATTATGATTCTTAGTCCTTTTATGGGACAGTTATGTCTGCTTACTGAATAGATTTCAGGGATGCTGGCAGGTCCCAGGAGGTCAAGTCCTCAAGAGGGCTGGGAAATATGAGGCCTTGAGCAGCAATGCCAGGTAGGCTGAAACTAGAACAGCTGTTCTTTGCAGTTCTACTCACACCACTGATACACAAGTTGGCGCTCTCACAACAGCTGCCCATGACTTGGTGCTGGCAGAGCCCATTTCTGTTCTCATCCCAACCCACAAAGTCAACGGAACCCCAAGATTAAAGGTGGTTTAAAAAATAAGGAATTTGTTGCAAAACCAGAATATTGAGGCAGCCAATTCCCAAGGTAGGTGACCTGGAGGCTGGACAAATCTATCAGAAATGCTGTGAGACCAAAGTCCATGAAAACTGGGAACCCTACCTGCAAGCAGCCAGCAAAATAAAGCTTGCATCCTTCTGGCCCAAACTGGGTCACGCCTGTGTTTAAACCAGCTGGGGGCGGGGACAGGAAGGAGGGAGGATATTCAATGGGTTCAGAACACTGGAGTTGGGGAAGTGCCCAGGCCTGCCTACCAAAGTGTGCTGGGTGACTTATGCACAATTGACGAACCTGCCATTGCACAGATTGGTGGCTTCTTTCAGACACTGGCAGTGATAGAACTCTGGCAAGGGCCCTGGGTGACAAAGGTGACAAAGTGCAACACTGCTCCAGAAAGCTTCTCGTGGAGCTGGCCCTCAGAAGGATCTCCCTGGGGTGGGTGTTCAAATAAATGGGGTTCAATTTCCAGTTCCTTCAAAGGCAACTCACAGAGCTTCTCCCTGGCATTAATCACTATGGTGGATGAGGAGGTGGCATACGCCCTGCTAGCCTAAGGCCTTCCTCCAGTGTGAACTTTCCAGTGTCGAATGAGGGAAGCCCTCTGTCTGAATGCTTTCCCACACTCGCTGCACTTGTATGGCCTCTCCCCAGTGTGGATTCTGTGGTGCTGGACAAGCACGTGTTTGTGGCTAAAGGCTTTCCCACACTCGCCACACACATAAGGCTTTTCACCGTTGTGAACCCTCTGGTGTGCAATAAGGTCAGAGCTTTGGCTAAAGAACTTCCCGCACGCAATGCACTCATAAGGCCTTGCCCCTGTATGAACGCCCCAGTGCTTAATGAGTCTATACTTGTGGCCAAAGTACTTCCCACACTCGCTGCACTCATATGGCCTCTCTCCAGTGTGGATGCTCTCATGTTGAACAAGTGTGGACTTGTGGCTGTAGGCTTTCCCACATTCGCTGCATTTGTAAGGTCTTGCTCCAGTGTGGACTCTCTGGTGCACAATAAGGTTGGAGCTGTGATTAAATACCTTCCCACATATACCACACTCATAGGGCATTTCTCCAGTGTGAATGCGCTGGTGCTGAGCAAGTATGGGTTTCCGGCTGAAGGTTTTCCCACACTCGCCGCACTTGTAAGGCCTCTCTCCGGTATGGACTCTCTGGTGCTGGACAAGTGAGTCTTTGCGGTTGAAGGCCTTGCCACAGTCGCCGCACTCGTAATGCTTCTGTCCACTGTGAAATGCCTCCATGCACTTGGTGTTACTGTGCGGCTTCCACTTACTGTGAGGACTACGGTGCTGGAAAATCCCTGAGTTAGTTGAGAAGTCCTTACAATCTTCCCCAGCCATTAAGGATATTTCCAATGGTCGGACAAGGCAGCTGTTCAAAAGAAAGTCCTGGCCCTCGTCCCTTCTGAAGGGTTTTTCTCCATTGCGCTGCTTCTGGGGGTGAAGGTCTGCACTGAACCAGAACTGTTTCCCACACACTTCACATCCATATGGTTTCTGCCCAGTGTGTGTTTCCTGGTGCTCGGCCAAGTGCAAAGTGTCTTTCAAGACTGGGCCACATGTCTCACAGAGGTGGGCTTTCTGGGTTGAAGGGACTGCTTTGGGAGTCCTGATCTGTGATACGCCTTCTACAGAAACCTTCTGCTCGAAAGGTATTTCCTCTTCTTCTATTCTATGCCAGCAACCTGAAATCAGACAAATGCTGGTGAAGTGCACACTGACACTGGTGGGAGGGGTGGTCTTGTTACACATGTGTCTACGAGGACTAAGGGCAAGGTCACAGGACTGCTGTCAGGACAGAGGTCCAAGCTCAAGGTGTAAAGTTCTGCTATTCAGCAGTTGGCATCTATAGGTCACAGAAGGGAAGAGGCCTTGACTGGGAGAGGATGCAATCATGGGGTACAGCCCAGGAAAGCCAGCGGCTCCAATGAAATCATCCATAAACAATTTCAACGAGGCCTTGGCTACTGGGGACAGTTGAGAGCTGTGTAAAAGAGTGTGTCCCCTGAAGACAAACAACTGAATCGCTGGTATTAAAGGACTATTTGGGGTCCATATACCTCCCATAACACATTAAATACAGATCAATGTTGGGGAGCAGTTGGGGAGAGGAACAACTGAAACGTGGAGACAGAGGAAGGGAACAGCCAGAGGCCAAATGCCAGAGCATACATGACAAGAGTGTAAATGGGAAAGCAAAGACAGAAATGAAGTGTGGCCAGTGGCCTTGGCACTACAACTGTGGGCACAGAAAGATTAGAGAATGATTGGGACCCAGTCCCAACATGACACCTCTCCCCAGCTCCACTCACCAGGGCCATGCCTATCCCGAGCCTCTCTGGTCATGGCCGGAGTCATGTCTGTCCAGTGAGATACCTGGGCTTTGCCATCCAGCTCCAGGCAGGCAATCCCATGGGACATGGAAGACGCATATCCTAAGGAAAAGACCAGAAAGGTAAATGGGCAGCACTGGTCTGGGCAACCATCCCTCAAAGAAAAGAACGAAATGTTATAAAAAGTCCAGTGGTCCCAGCAAGTAATAACTATACTGGTCCCTGAAATTCCTGATACAGGAAGGCCACTGGAAATGTCAGCTAGAGGATGGGAGAAGCTGGGGCACAAGGTTGCTGGACAGAGGCACCCAGTCAGGTTGAAAACAAGCTGGATATGATCCACTGGGGGACTATCAGAGCCCTTAATCCTGACTCTATACATGTCAACCTTCAGGGCAGTAGGTGTTGGGACTGCTCAGGAGTCAGAGGTGGCAGTGCACACTTGGCCTCCGCAGTACCTACTCCAGGAAACTGGGGAGGGAGGCAGTGCCCATGGCTCTGATAAAGGAAGGGCCAGGCTACCCCTGGGAAACAGGGATGGGCAGAGCCCAGGCCAGGACGCTGAGCCAGATGGGAGGGCCTTACCCAGTGAGGCCGTAAGCGCAAAGGTCTCCAGCATTACGTCGCGGTACAGGAGCCTCTGAGTGTCATCCAGGAGCCCCCACTCCTCCTGAGAGAAGTACACGACCACATCCTCAAACGTCACCTGCTCCTGCCACAATGAGGAGAGCTAAGTCCAGGAGCAGCCTCTCTAAGGACACCCTTTGTGCCCCACAGGTCTCCCTCTTCCTACCTAACTCAGAGGAAATACCAGGACCAGGTGTCATGGGGTCTGCTCTGTCCTCATGATCCTTTGGTCACTGTGCCTTTGGTCACAGCAACAAAAGGCAGATGGGCAAAAAGACACCACCTAAGCTCTGGGCCTGACATGGAGGGCCACCTTGCACCTCTCTCCCAGCAGCCAGTCTCCTGGGGCTGCTAAGATCATGCTTACCAGATAACCAAAGTTGAGCTTAACTTTCTCCCTTAAGCCCCCTATACCAGGGCCCACAGGCCATCAGTTCACACTCCTCTGCACATGCATATCGCTCTTTTGGATTACTCTGCGTTTCACAACTCTATCCCCAACCTGGTCAGCATCCATCACCTTCCCAGCTCACTAACTGCACTGCCATTGTGATGTGTAGATTCTCTCCTAAATCTATCTATATGCCATCGTCTACCCTTTGGACATCTTCATCCTAACCAGTCATGTGTCCAGCAGCTCACTCGACAACATGTAGTATTCTCTGGAACATCTCAGACTCCACATGGTCACAAATAAACTCCTGATATCCACACCGAGTAACTGCTACCATTGACTTACCCACCTCAGCTGATGGAGCATCTGCCCTTTCAACTGAAAAGGCCTAAAACCTTGGGGTTACCTTGTTTTCTCACATCGGAAAATCTAATCCAGTCAGTTCTCCCTTGGCCCATCTGTTATTACCACCCACGTAGAATATTAAAGCAGCCTCCTCCTTGGTCTTCATTGTAACTCCCTCAACACTCACCAGTCTGCTCTCTACCTGGCATCCAGAGGATACCTCGTAAAACCTGGATGAGATGATCCCCCTCCTCTGCTCATCTGCCATGGCTACACCACCCTCAGAACAGAGGCTCACCTTGTCAGCTGGGCTTTTCAGGCCCAACTTCTGCATTTGATTCCTACCAGACATGGTGAACATCTGTAGTTTCATGAACACTCCCATCTCAGTCTCACCTCCAAGTATTTGCACATGCTGATTCCTGTGCCTTGAACAACCTTTAACACCTTATTCCAATGGTTACCAGAAATGGGAACACTTCCATGTAACCCCTGGCTTGGACTCAGAACTCTGGGCCTAAGGTTTCTCCAGGGTCTTCACACTCAAGAGTTGAGAGAGTACAAGTAAAGTGTTCTAGGACTCCACAATCCTGCAAACCATGCGGTTGGGGCGGGGATAGGATGGAGGAGAGCACTGACATCCTTCCCTCACCTGCATAGGATCCATAACTACTTCCGAGTCCATGGGAACCTGTGGGAAGAGGGAGACTGTGAGACAAGAAATCATGAAGGAGCATCACGGGGTCATGCCTGTTCACTCCTCCTGCCCTGCCACAAAGACCTGGGGCGCTCTACCTTCTGAGCCTGGCCACCTAACAGCTGTGTTACCTCGGACCACATCTCACTCTTCCTGTGCCTCAGTCTTCATCATCTCCCCATCCCCACTCCAAGTCTGTTCTCTTCAGAGCAGTGTAGGTAATTAATACCCTCAGATCGTGCCTTCTTTGTTTAGAACATTTCATGACTCCTATCACCCTCAAACTGAAGGCACAGCTGCTCAGGCTGACATTCCAGACCGGACTCCTTGCATTCTTTGATCCTGTCACACACCAAGGCCCCAGGATTCCCGAACGCTCCGGCTGTGTCGCACCGCCAAGCCTACATGCTGGCCCCTCGGTACGCCCTTAGACAGCTCATCATACCGGCTGTCGGAAATGGGATCCAACCACGAGCGCCCCCATCGTTTGGATACAGGGGCCCCCGTTGCCCTCATTCGAGGGCTTAGATTTCAGAGATGGAGGGTGGCGGAAGAGCCGGAGGCGCAGCACCTACCTGCGCCGGGTCCATCAGCGCGGCCTCCGCCATCAGAACCTGAGGAGAAGAAAGGGGATAACTTGCGGGAGACAATTGGGAGGAGCGAGGCTCGGGCGGCTGGGTCACCTGGGAGGTGTCACAGCCGATCCTCAGGCCTACCTCTGTTCACAGAAGTACCGCCTCCTCACGCGTTTCCCTCTGGTGTCACCTCTAGTCTAACCCTGCGTCAGGGAGACGGATGTTGTGAATTAACCAAAAGCAAACAAAATGTCCGCCCAAAAAGGAAACGGGAAGTCCCGCCCTAACATCTTCTGCAAGATCAGAAACGCCTCTTCCCTGGGCCTTCATTGGCCTGACACCGCCGACGTCTCTAGGTAATGTAGTACCCACAGTACCAACGATGGAAATGCACATCACGCGAGACCTCCAGGGAAAAGGTCAACCCGCAGAACTGGGGCGTGTTTAGTTTTGAGACGTAGGCGGAGCTTCGTTTCCTCTTAAGAGAAGCCGCAGCCGTATTTCCAGGGAGCGTAGTCTGTAACTTATCCCAGAAATGCTTAGGAACATGTTGTTTCAAGCTTCTTCATGCAAAGAATGCTCACCAAAAAATCAAATGGACGCACGCATGCTAATTTCACTCTGACCTCTAATAGCTGGAAGTTCGTAAATAGTATGTTGTTAGCAAATAAACACATGTAGGCTGAAGCTCTAGAGTTACTTTTGTGAGCATCAGCATTTTGGATCAGGACCAACAGAGAAAAGACTCTAGACACGGTCACTACGTGAAACATGGAGTGGGGATGCTGGGATCTGCTGAAGTCTGTGGACAATGCTTGTGTCTCTGGTTATTTCAGAAAACATTTCTGCCTGTGTAATTATGTCAAAGCCAGTGAATAACACTTTTTTTTTTTTACAGGACAATACTTCTTACTCCGTATAGAGATGTACGCAATTCCATTTATGTATTTTACAAATATCTGAAAAGAAAGGCGATATACCAAATGTCATTTGGCAATTATGTGGGCAAGAACAAGTCAGTGCAGAAGAAATAACCACCAAACTAAATTTCTATATGCAGTAAGAATGCCTTTCAAGAAACTGTGACATAAGACTATTTGAGGCCAAAAATAAGGAATGCAGTGGAAAAGAAATCCACAGGAAATAAAATTCTAAACATAATATTCAAGTCTAAAGAAGGCTGAACCCAGACGAAAGGTCTGCAATGAGAGAAAGAATGAAGATTGAGAGACGTACATCTTTTGATTAAAATAACTGTTCATTTGCTGTGTAAAGCATGACTATATCTCCTTATGGAGTTAAGATGATGGACTTTCCATGCACAACCACAGAACATACATTGAGAGGAGGCTAATTTATTAATTGATAAATCTCTTATATTTCCAGGTAACTGATATAAGGACAAGGATGAGTCTTGTCCCATAAACACCAGCCTTCAGCTTTATTTATTCTCTAAACGTGTTTCCTGGGCACCTACTAAGAAATCAGAACAGGAAAAGCCCTGCCAGCCCACTCAGAGGGTGGGGTTGGGGGACTGTCATTACCTGAGCCTTGCTTCATCATTCCAACCACCCACAGGTCCTGTCACTTCTGCTTCCAACATCTCCAACTCCATTCCTTCGGGGCAGTCTACCCACAACACATTTCGGACCATACTAAAGCCTCTGTCCTGCCTCCAACATCAAGTCTTGCTCTGCCTCAACTCATTCTCCACACATCAGACAGAAGGTGATTTCAAAACAAATCAGGTTCTGTTTGGTAGATTCGGTGGATTAGAGCACATTGGTGGCCAGAGAGACAAGGGCCTGAGTCTTCTCTGTTACCTGCCCTTCAATTTTAGCCTCAGGGTTGGTAACATGCTCCCCATCATCAGTTATGCATGACCTTGCCCTGTCTGTGGTCAGCCTTATTGTATATACCGGGACAAAATCCAAGAGAGGCCAAGCAGCTCCTTGAAGTCCCGCACAACCTACATGACGCCAATGCGGATACGTAGCCCATGTTCCCTCCTCTATTGCTCTCCTGTAGGCAAAGAGAGGCCTCTCTCTTTTTTGGAGTAAACAAAACATTGAGGGCTTTCAGGAATGGAGCTGTAGACTTCACCCAGGAGTAGCAGCTGTTTAGTTTTATCTCACTTCAGGTATTGCTTCATCACCGTGTGTTTGACACTGGGCGTCCCCTTGGCAGGGGGAATTTGGTAATGGTTGACTGGTTCTGTCCAAGGAAACCACTTTATTGTGGCTCTCAAGATGGTTTTTAGGTACTAAAAGAAAAGGAAAGACTAGAGCCTCAGCTGCTCAGGGGAACTGATATCCAGGTCCATCGACAATAAGGATAGTCTCTAGATGAGTGTCTGACGGAGTTTTGGACCCTTATTTCTCCTCCACCACCACTTCTGCAGCTCTTCACTTTCCCTCTACGTTTGGCGCTTTGGGAACTACATTGCCCAGAAGGCGCGGCGCCCTGAGGCGTCAGTGCTCGGCCAATGAAAACGGCCCTTTCCGTGTGTGAGAAACACTCTGGGCACTTTTGATGTAGCCTCAGAGGCAGTGATTTTGGGGTCTCTGGGGTCCCTCCGTATCATCAGAAGCTCCTGAAAACTGTTTTTGAGCTGACAAGAAGGGACGACGCGAGAGCAGGCAGGTGTTGTCTCCGTTGCACAGAGGTGGTTCCGAGGCTCGGCATTGGCGCCCGGGCGACCCATTTCCGGGTCAGGGACGGGGATGCCCGGGGCCCGACCTGGCTCTTGGCTCCTGGCCCCGCTCTGTCCACAAGGTCTGATGGCGGCGGCCGCGCTGGGGGGCCCGGTTCAGGTGAGTGCGCGTCCCCTCGGCCCTCACCGCTTTCAACCTACCCGGACCCTAAAGCCCCGAGCGAGCGTCCCCTGCTCAAGGAAGTCAATGCAATAGACTAATAGAGAGTTCTGGTGGGGACTGGAGGCAGTAGAGCCAGGAGGAATAGTAAGATCTGGGAGGCATTTAAAAAACCGAGCAGACAGGTAATGAAGGACTATCCCTTTTCTGTTTGCATTTTTGTCTGTTTCCTGAGTATCTGGAAGGATGGAGATGGGGAAGTCAGCGCAGGGAGCAGGCTTCAGAAAGATTAGGAGTTGGATTTTGGACAGGTAACCCTGAGATGTTCCAGTGTGGCAGTGTCACACTGGTAGCTTGCTCACTCACGTCTAGGCTCTGGGGAGGGCTGGAGATATCCAAGGGATGGTGGGTAGTGGCCTGGACCAGTGCAAGGCCTGTGACTCATTTAGGAGGGAGAATCTTAAAGTTCTTATTTCAGATGGGCCTGGAGGGTGGGGCTGCTTCCACAGGGGTGGTTTCCTGTTGTGGGCAGTGGTTCTGGCTGGTGTGTGTAGGAATGGAGGGTCGTAGTGTGTGAGAACCAGGATGGGGATGGAGACTGAGATATTCAGTGGTATAGATGTGCCACTACAGGCTCAGCAGGCTCTCATGTCCACTCCTTGTGGAGAAAAGGAAAAGTCAGCCGGGCTAGTAGAGCAGCCCCTTTGGGGCATAAGTTCCCCAGCCTTCAAGGCAGGAGGGATGAGCAACTGTTCCAATGGAAGGCAGCAGGATTGCCTTCAGGAGAGTGTGTACTGGGCAGCCAAGCTGCCAACAGGACTAGTATCGACTCAGTTTCCTCAGGCCCAACCCCTCACTTTATTAACTTGTGATTTTAAGAAGTATTTATTTAAACATTAGTTAATAAAAATACATATGTGTACATGTGTATATATACACATATATGTGTATATACATGTGTATACATATAGGTGATTAAAGTAACATGGATTTAACATGTTAAAATCACATAAGCAGTTAATAATTGGTTGAAGTCTTAATGTACTGCTAAGCATTTGATTAAAATCAAACATTTTAACTATCACATTTTCTTAGTTAAAAGGCATATAAAAACCCCTCCATTTTCAATACCTACCAGTTCATTTGCACTGAAAATGTTGACAGAAGTGTTCATTATGAGGGCTGGAAGAATCAATACTTGGCACATAGGAATGAGTTTGATACAAACAATAGGCCTATTGGGTCAGCCCCATTATCATCCGCATTTTACAGATGATAACACTGAGGCACAGGGAAGTCAAGTACTTGTCCAAAGTCACACAGCTGGTAAGAGGCATTACCAAGGACTGAAACCCAACTGGTATGAGGGGGCTTGGATGAACCTTTGGGACCCAACATTGTTGCCTGCTTTTTATGGTCTTGCTTTTCCATAGGTTCCTGTGGCTGCAGAATTGCTTCCAGATCGTGCAAAGACAAAAGAAGGTGTCCCCTCCTCCACTCCCACCTGCTTGAGCTCCCAGGTATTCAGGGACTCTTTGCATGCTATTCTCCCTACCCTTCCATCTGAGATCCCTGGAAGGTGCTCACCCAAGATCAGGGGCTTGAGTCCAGACTAGGGATTATATGGGTTGGTTCCCATTTCTGGCAACCAGTGGCATGACGCTTAGAAGATACTACATTCACAGTGATCAAGAAATGCTGGAGGTGAGGTTGAGCTGAGAATGCTCAGGCAACCTTAGGTCTTCTTTAT